CAAAGCGAGCACCGAGCACTACACAGGCTCCTCCCACCCCACTCTACAGATATTTAACCTTCTTCCTGCAGGGAGGCCGCAGGTGCCAGCAGAGGAGGGCAAGGGACCTGGAGTTTCTTCTCAGGCATCCTCGGTCAGCAAAGCACCTCCAAGTCTCGGTTCCCAGGTCAAAGCACACGTCAGGCCCTGGGAAGAACGCACACGTCGGGAAGGACGTAAATGGTGGGCTGCTTCCTCGGCTCATGGCAGAGAGGCGAAGAAGGGCCTTGAGGAGAAGGCGGCTGTGGAGAGGCCATCGCCCGGCGGGTATTGCGTGTGCACATATACACGAGCCATGCGTGTGCACACACGCAAGTAAAGCAGCGCAACACCAACACGGAAGACTCTGTCATGGCCTGGGTTTGTGAGAGTAGGGACGACATGTCTGGTCCATGATTCTCCTTGGAAAATGGCCAATCCAGGCCCAGACAGCAATCAGACCACAGCAGTGTGCAACAGCCTGTCATTCCAGAGAGAAGGGAGCCGTCAAAGACACAGGCTTTCTGTTAAAACGACCTGGGAGCTAATTTAACAGAGATTTTTGCTGGTCAAAGATACAGTGATCTATGTACACCCATGTTTATAGCAGCGCAACTCACAATAGCTAAATCCAGAAAGCAGCCTATGTGCCTGTCAACAGATGAACAGATAAAGAAAACGGGGTGTTCACACACTATGAAGTACTACTCCGCCATAAACAAGGACAAACGTAGTCCTTTGTAGGAAAATGGACACACCCTGAGACCATAATGTTAAGGGAAATAAATCAGACACACAGCTTAAATATCACAAGGATTCTCTCACATGAGAAAAGCTGAAGTAGAGCAAAATAAAAGATAATAGGGAGGAGGGCAGTAGATATTTCTCATATGGGAAGGGGATCGAGAGTTGGAAAGAAGGGGCTGGGGATGTAGATCAGCAGAAAATGCAAGGTTCTGAGTTCAATTCCCAGTAAAAAGAAAAAGCATCCCCATCTTCTTGAGCCGGCCGTCGTGGCGCAGGCCTGGAGTCCCAGCACCCAGGAGGCTGAGGCGGGAGGATCGATGAGAGTTCGAGGCCAGCCTGGGCTACAAAGTGAAACCCTGTCTCAAAACAAAGAACAAACAAACAGATTGAAAGAGGGAGGAGAGAGGGGAGGGCAAGGGGAGAAAGGAGTAGAGACATGCTGTGTATGAGCAGCAGCTCCACACAAGGACTGGAAGCACTGTGTATTGCCAAAAAGCACTAAAAAGAAAGACCATCAAGACAATCGCTACAAGGAACTGAAATTCATAAAATATTTATGTCCATGAGTTCATAAATACTCATTAAACAGACTCCTGTCACCTCTGGAGGCCGACAGAAAATGGATTCATCACCCAGAAAGCTGAGAACAGCGGGGGAACGCAGCAGCTCCTGCGGTGTGCTTTGCAGGCAGCTGGGCTGGGGACAAATGTGGTCACCACACACAGGACCCGACTGGTACAATGAAGACGTCACCACTTGGCATATCTGAATCACACTGCGGGCGCAGGCCGTAATTCTCAATGGCTGCTAACACCAAAAACAGAGCAATGACCAACATCGCATGCTTCCTTCCGGGAGAAACACCCAAAAAATCAAACCGGAATGTGACCAAGGGCTAGAAAGCCTGCAGGGAAGAACACACCGAATGACGTCACAGACACACGACAGAAAACCCAGGTCGCAAAACGCTGCGGGACAGAAAACTGCATCTTCACCAAAAATGATAGGAAAAAAAGAGAGGGAGGAACGAGAATCTGCACTGATTCAAAAAGTCACACAAAGTGTTCATGGTTTTAATGCATCGACCTTATTTGTATCCCAATTCAGATAAATTCTAAAGACAACGTGAACTGAGGAAATTTAAACAGCAATTGCTTACTTGATATTAAGAAATTATTAGGATTTTTAGTTCTTAGGATAGAGTTACACTTACACTTTAGGAGTCCTTACATCTCTATAAATGAAAACTTGGTTTTTTAGGTAATTGTAGATTTATGTTCAGCTGAAAGAAATGATGCAGAGCTCTCCCCAGCTCCCCCAGCTGTAACTACGGGACAAATGATCTCCTGCTGTGAAACTAGAGGACCTTGTCACAGCCAGGCCACCCACAGATGCAGCGCGGATACAGAGGTGTCCAACTTCCCCACCTTTCCTCTGCCAGCCACACCCTTCCCTAGCACCCAGTCCAATGCTGTCATTTGGAAACCTTACGGAAATGGAGCCCCACACTACGCACCCTCTTGGGGTTGTCACTTCGTAGTCAGCAAAAATTTCTGGAAGTCCATCCACACTGCCGAGCGCATCAGTGGTTGGTTCCTTTTGACAGCTGAGTAGTATTCCACAGTAAGAGTGCATCAGTGTTTAAACAGCCACCCACTGACAGACACCTATGTTGTTTCCATGTGGGACTATTCTAAGTAAAACTGCTCTGAGAATGCATGTCAGTCCCTTACTTTACTTAAATATTTATGAATGAGGTAAAGTGATGTCTAGGATTTGCTTCAAAGAATGAAACCATCTGGGGCTTGGGTCACAACTCAGTGCAGAGAGTGCTTGGCATGCTCGGGACTTGGGTTCAAAGCCCAGGAGCCAAATAAATGACTAAAGAAATAAGGCCACATGCCAATAAGTGTATTCTGTAATATCTACTTTTGTATCTTTAAAATTTTTCAAAATAACCTTTTTAAAAAGAAAAAAATTACTTAAGCGACCACCACATCCCACACACAAGCACATGCATCTTCAGGCAAAACTGAGCACCCGCACCCGTAATTCTGTGGCAGGGTCGGAGCATGGAGCCGGCACCTCTCCGCGCTCCTCACCTCCTTCTGGAAGTCCCGCCCTGGGCTCCGGGTTGGGATGCCAGGTCTCCCCAAGCTGGGTAATTACCATCACCAAGGGCATGAGATGCGCAGCGCCTCGTCCTCTGAAGAGAACGGGACCTCCTCGTGGAGAAGAATGCTGTGCAGACACAAGCGTCATCACCAGAGATGCCGAGCAACAAATGACACGAGCACAGCCAGGCCTTGGAAGGAGGGGAGACGCATTCCTTATTATGCAAAGGCTGCTTCTGTGTCTAAGCCATGCCGGAGGACAGGATGTTGTCATCGTGTTCAGTCTGTAAACTAATGTTTCTGCGGCAAAGCCCTGCAAATGGTGCCTGCTCTGTGCACCACTGATGTCCTGTCAGGGGCTTCTCCCCCAGGGCTGTGCGACACCTGCCCTCATCCTCCTAAAGATGCCATGTTTACTCCACATGATCTTTTACAAGAATGAAAACCATTCTCCCGAAGACAGGATGCAAAGGACAAGAGGCAGACACCAACTCATAAACCCACGAGGTTCAAAACCAAGGACTCAAAGGACGTGTACGTGATGACTTCCTCCTGCCACACAGTGCGGCCGTGGTGGGTTCCGCCTGCTTGGTCTGTGAGGCCGGAACACACACTGTGCTGCATGACCCGAACGCTTCAATCAGAGTTCATCATGAGAAGTAAGACCCCGTTTCCAGATCAGATTCCACTAGGACACATTGCAAAGGACCGTCTGCATCTAATAGTGAAGTGGTTTGGTTGAATCAAACATCGCTCCTGTTGCGTGAGTCTCTGCTTTGCCGTTAGGACAGGTAATACTCATTGTGACAGGATGTGATCTGTGCCAGCACAACTCCATGGTAAGGAGGAGAAAATGGCCCACTCCATGCCTATGAACTGAAATGCATTAGTCAACTCTAGTAGAAGCAATCAACAGACACACTGGTTCACGCGTTCGGTTTAAAGGCGTATGAGTCACTGGTGGGAAGAAATCTATTCACGACATCAGATCAGGAAACTAAACTACAGCTGAAGTCAAAATCTTGTTCCTACGTCCTGAGGCAGAGCACAGGGAAGCTAAAACCACACAGGCCAACAGGAACGGAACTGCAGGCCGGCAGTGAAGAGGCCAGAAACAGCCACCAGCGAGAAGGAAGCAAAGGCAGAGAAGCATGGGGACAAGCACCGAGGAGGAACTGAGAGAAAGGTGCTAAGGCTGAAGTTATGTGCTTTGAATCACCCCTTTCCCTCCTCTGCCATCTTCCACAACTCCTACAACCCATCACTGTCTGGGCCCGTGGACTCCGGTCTACACCTGGACTACCAAGCCAGAGTTCCAGAGAGAGCTGTTTTCGTAATGTTTGGTAGTTTCAGAGAAAGGAGAGTATGAGAGAGAGGTGGGAAATACACAGACAGAACACAGAGGGACGGCATGAACCCTGGAAAGAATTCCAAAAACAAGCTGCCCAAGATGCCAGAGCAGCCGTGCTGAGCAGGAGCTGTGTGGAGGGGAGCTGTGCTGTGGATGGACTGGGAAGGGCAGGGAGGGAGAGGAGGCGGCCACACTGCTGCGGCAGGAGAGGTCTTTGGACGGTGAGAGACCGCAGGAGAAAGAAGTCGGGACAGAGCTCAGAGGCCAGCAGGAAAAGAGCAGAAATGCAGGGGTCAGAGGCTATTCCGGGTCAGTCATGGGCTTAGTCCAGCAGGGTGGCAAGGGGAGGGGCAGTGTAAAGACGCTTAGCACCAGCTCCGTCTTCAGGTACCACCTAGAAAACGGTCCCTCGCAGTCACGGTGGAGAAAGGACTTATGAGAAGGGAAGGGTCCTCCTGTTGCCTGGGAGCAAACTGCCGCTACTATGATCAAATACACAGAGGGCATGACAATTCCAAAGGCTAATAACGTCAGTCTTAGAGGAAGCTCGCATTAAGCTTGACAGAGGCTTGGAAAAATAAGCTTGACAGAGGCTTGATTTAAGTAAAAATTACTTTTAAGAAGAACATGTGATTGGTTGCAAGGTAATAAATATTTTTTTTTAAATTCTACACTAGTTAACTGTTCATTTTGGCAATGCAGCACTGACTTATATGACTGACAAGTCTATCATCTCTGCTTTGCAAATCTACTCTTTCTATCTCCTTTAGCAACCCAAAGGTCGATGTTTCCATGAGTGCAACATCACAGACAACACAAGCCGAAGCCACTGTGCCTTCGTGCGTGTGCCAGCGGGGCTCCAGCTTTCGCTTACAGAACACAGATCCGCCGAACACCGCGCTGGGGCTGCTGTTGGCGCATGGAGAAAAGTTAAAGGGAAAACCAGACGGGTTGCCCTCGAAGGGCTCACAAAATAATGGACAAGACAGACACTGAGTTTTGTTTTTTTTTTTTAAATCCACATATATCATTCAAACTGTGCTAAGTGCCATGAAGGAAAATTACTGAGTGTTAGGAAAGCTTGCAACAGGGATGCTGTGGCAAGGCTGCGTGTGGGTGGAGGGAAGGTCGCGCAGTAGGCGCGAATGCTCTCACCTGTTGGGTGATCGTGTCCCACGGCCCCTGAAGCAGCCGAGTCCTGTAGCACTCATGGACTCCACTCCAGATGTCCTGCAGGGTCAGTGGTCTTCCATCTGTGAACGCGCATAAAAAACGGAGTTAGTGAACCAGGACCCAGCAGCCTCAAGAACCGGCAGAGGATATGGGTCTCAAAATGTTTACTCGTTCACACATTTCTTAGGTATCACAAGAATGCTGTGAGAATGTCTATTTTTTTTTCTTGAGAGAACATTAAACATTTAAACTTTTCTCCTTTGCATCCACCTAGCAGTTAAATCATCTACCCATTCCTTGCCCCCAGGAGTTATACAAAATAAATAAAAGCCAAAAGTGTTTTAGAGAGATTCGAGCATTGGCATAGGACCAGGTAAATGGATCCCCTTTGACAAGGGTCCCTGTGGATGTCTCTGAGGCATTAAAGCTCTCTGTCCCTTGAAGCAGAGACCACCCCGTGCTTCTCTCACTGCCCCACTGAGAATCTGTAAGGTTCACATCACTCCACGCGGTGCTGTGGAGAAGACAGAGAAGGAAAAGGAATAATTTCTTCTAGTCACGGACTGACCATCTAACAGGGAAACTCTGACAGGTACATGAGTCCTAAAACCAGTAGGCAGACAGCAGTCACAGCCAGAAGACCAGATGGTTCCCTGCCATGCAAAGGAGGGAGACATCAGCACCAGCCAGGAGCTGCTGGACAGAGGGACACATGAACCGGCTGTCTCAAAGAGGTCATAGAAGCTTTAGTGAGCAGTAACTCTTTACTGCTTGGGCAATTTTAATCAATGATCTACATTTAGTAATCATCAAATAATGTAGTTTAAGAAGACTACTACTATGGCAGTTAAACTTAAGGAAAACATAGGTATCTATTTAAAAAAAGGAAGCAGAACAAAGTAGTTACCTAGACTTTCTAAGCACATCACTAGAAAGGTGTCTAAATGATCGAACTTAGTGCTATTTGGCTCCCTGAGAGCGATCACATCCTCAAGGCCTTCAGGTGTGCTGTTTTCCATAGACAAATGCCAGTTTTCCTTAAAAAGAGTAATACACCACATACTAAGCCACTGGATTCTAACATGCATTTGGCCGTCAAGTGCAACAAAACTTAGGAGAATTATCGACCCAAAAATTCCAAGCAACTAAAGACCACTGCAGTCTTCAGACTTACAGAATATAATGTACAGGGTGTGAGGGTAAATCTCTAGGTTTATAGTCGAGGATCAGTTTAAATACTGAAGTTGCCAATTACTTTCTGTGTGCCTGAAAGTTTTTGCTTTCAGCTTTACCTGTAAAATGAGGATAATCCTTTTGAAATTTGTTCTCATGAGCTTGCATTAGCAAAGGCACCCGAGGACTGTCAGGCAGTAAGTAAGAGCTCAGCAAATATCAGGCATCTCCTTCCAGCCTGCTCCAGTATTGCAGTAATGCTCAGGGCTAAAAGATTCATTTCTGGACTGTTGTTTCTGAGAATGTTCCTGTTTCCACACCATGCACGTTGTCTTTGATACTGTAATGTACTAATCGCATAAGCAGGACATTTCTCATGTTTGCCCTGGAAAGTTGAACTTTTCCTCAACCTTTATTTTCAATAAATAGCAATAGAATATTTTGATACATTTCCAATAAGTATCTTCATCTTGGCATTTATCTGGCGGCAGGAGACCATTATCTTGTGATAAATAGTTTTATTCCATTGACATTTCCATGTCTGTAAAATGAACAAGATTTATTCATCCAATTAACATTTGAATGTCATGTTTTGGTACAAGTTGAAAACAAGCTGCCTTCAGTGTGGTGTTACACTGTTTTCTGAGCACATTTGCAGAGTAGGGCCGAACTCTGCTCTTAAGAGCCGTGTATCTTCAAGATGCTCATGTTCACATGTGAGTGTGTGTGACTGCACAGGTGTGTGTTAGAGTCAGAGGGGCTAATATGGTCTTAAATACCTCATGTCGAACAGTAAACGATTGCAAAAGGCTGACATGCTTTTAAAAGAGGTTTTACAGTCCAAGTCAGAAGAGATCAAGTAGTGAAGAGATAAAAGGTCAGGACTGATGTAACTGCTAATTTTATAAATTAGGCAACCGAGGTGTTGGGAAATACAAATCCCCTCAAATTATGTAGTCAGCACCCGTGTTCTTCCGCTATTTCTACGTTCCTGGGGGCAGAGGCTGCAGACGCTTCATACAACATCTCTGGAGGGGCCGGGGATTTGGCTCAGTGGCTCCACTGCCTTTCTTGAAAGCACAAGGACCCAATTAGATTCACCCCCCGAAAAAGAACAGAAATATTTATGGAAAAAATAGGAAATTAAAGAATATTTTCCTCCACATTACCTCCTCTAAGACAAAGCTCTTCAGACCTGGAGGAGATGGATGGTTTAATGTCTGGTATTTGGTGATGCTTTGATTCTGCTCCTTAGAATCTCAGTCAGTGACGTGAGCTTGGAGGGTATGGTCAGAAGTCACTGTGCCTCCTCTCCTGGGTGCATGCATACCACACGGTAGGAGCAGTAGCCCAGCAGCAGTGTGGGAGGCCCCCAGAACAACTGTAGTGTTTTCATCAGGTGGGATACAGAATTGAGACTATATACCATAAATTTTCAGACATATCACACCTAGAAAAGTGAACTCCTGGGCCAGGGATGTAGCTCAGCAGCACCGCACCTGCCTGGCAAAATGTCCCTTTGCTTTTAAATTTGTATGGTGTTTTGGCGTACAACTCAGTGGTAAAGCATATGTTTAGCACACACAAGACCCTGGGTTCAATCCCCAGCACCTCAAAAACTTACAGTTAGGAAAACTTTCTTTTTTGAGACAAGATTTTGCTGTATAGTTCATACCGGCCTTGAACTCCCTGTGTAGCACAGGCTGGCTTCAAACTCTCGGTCATCTTCCTGCCTCAGCCTCCCAAGTGCAGGGATTACAGGTGTTTGCTGTCACACCTGGCTATATTTTTAAATTAAAACACACACACACACACACACACACACACACGAAAACATCAGTGCACCTTTTCTTTCTTACAGTGCTGCAAAACCAGAAACCTAGGAATCACACTGCCTTGCTTGCTCTTTCTCAGCCTCATGTCTCATCATGAAAAATATGGCCTGTTATTATATTGCAAATTTCTCTGGAATCTGTGCTGTCTGTTCCATCGCTCTTATACAGGCGTTCAAGTCCAAGCCCCCCAAAAGAGCCTGCCTTGGTCCTCTGGGCTTCAGGGCTTGATTGCTGTCCCTGCTGGTTTCAAACACAACATGATGTAACTTCCTTGCTGAGCATGGTTCTCTGGTCCCCCTCCTTCCACCTCTGAAGTCCAAACACTCAGGCCTCATGGCCCTGATGAGTGAGCTGTCTCCCCCACCCTTCCCTATGATCAGCCCTTAGGGTGCTGAAAACAACCCACCCACACACCCTCTCAAACCAGTCACTCCTTTGTCCTGTTGGGATTTTTTCATAGCAACCATCTCTCTAGGAAATTATTGTACTTTCTCGTTCATTCATCATTCCCTGTCTTTCCTAATTAGTAGGCAAGTTCCCTGGAAATAGACCTTGTTCCCCACCACCTGGACGAGGGTCTGGCATACCATAAATGGTCACTAAAGACTGGAAGATGGAAGTATACTTTTCCCCCTGCAGTACTATGATATAACTATTTCCTACATTGCTAAAAGGTCAGCATTATGATCTACTGGCTATGTGTGAGTATACTAAAATAGTGCACTATAATATACTTATGTATTCCTCTGCTGCTGGTCATTTAAATTATTATCAGCTTTGAAATAGTACCTGGCTCAACATAGACACAAAGTAAGTTGTAGCCATTTCTCTTCTTTTCGATTATTTTCTTTTGATAAATTCCCTAGAATGGAATTACTGAGTCAAAGTGAAAAATAACTGTTTTAATTCAAGACAGAAAAACTAGTAGCTCACCACATCAAGATTCTCCCTGGGGTAATGAGATAAGAAGTTAATTTTAGAAAGAGGTATCTGTATAATTTGGCACTATGTATGCCAGGCATTGTTTTAAGCCTTTGTGATGCATTAGTGAACAAAACAATGGATACGTGGAGGTTATGTTCCAGCTGAGCTGGGGCAAGGATGCTACAGGAAACAGGAATGCAGTAAGTGAGTATACCGCATCGAATATTAAGAGGCAATATGTGCTATGGTTAAAAGAAAGAAGACAGGGGACTAAGGAGTGCCACACATGGGTGGGATCGCCAATTTTTGCCTCACTGAGAAAGTAACGTGAACAAACACTGGGCAGTGTTAGCTATTCAGATACGTGACAGAGAGAAGGATGCACATCACGGAGAGGGAGAACAGACCATGAAAGGCTACAGCAGAGCATGGTAGGAAAACCCCTGAGCACTTTGCAGGAAACACACAGCTTATTAATTTAAGCACACACAGCTGTAACAAGATATAACTGACATACACACAACACATTCAAAATGCCTCATCTCCACAAAGATGGCCATGACATACTGGGAAAAGGAACAATTCAATAGAAAGAGGTAGCAATTTAAAATATATATGCACTGAAAGTTTGTCCACCTAACTTCATAAAACAAAAACTACTGGACACAAAAAGACAGATGCACTAATACACTACAGATACAAATACACTGCAGACACCAATACAAACCACAGCAAGGGGCTTCAATACTCCACTCTCACAAATAGACAGGTCAAGCAGAAAAAAAAATTAACAATGACAAAATCAGAGTTAAACCAAACCACTGAACAAACAGAATTAACAAATATCTAGAGTGTTTCATGCAACAACAGAATATACAT